AAAAAAAAAACAGTTAATACAATGTTAACCAATCGTTTGGGTCAACTTAACAATATCATTAAAATGATCCGAATCGTTCATTGTTTAGGTCATGAATTAAAAATCACCCTTACAAAAAGTTACCAAATTTGAAAACATTCAGGCATCTAAGTGCGATAAAAAAATAATAGACGAACACAATACTTCCTATAAATTTTTAAAAAAATATATTCATGATAATAATTAAATGAATAAACGATTTTCAATTTGACTAATTTTTTTCTTATTAGCCCACAAACTGGGTTAAGCATATAGCCCTTGAGTTCTCCAAATAAATTTTCTTGGTCCACTCCCATCAACATGACAATAAATTAGTCTATATATTGTTTTCAAGGGAATAGTCCAGAAGATACCAAGTATGTGCTCAAAACTATTGACTAATATTCAAACACAGTTGTTATGAGAGGTACTTGTCTATTTATTGTTGTCCACATTTTGAGACACCCCTAGGAAATTTCATTTCCGGTGAAACTTGTAATCTGTAAATTGGGCCCATATGCATGGTCTTCCTACATGGACCCAACAAGAAAATAGAAAAGCATAAGTTTGTACGTAAAACATGTAAATTGGGGGGCCTATTGTGTAACGTCTTGTCACTCCCACTAGAATTGAACTCAACAAAAATCAACAGAAACTTTGTACACAAAGCGTTTAGGAGGGGGACCATTGTGCTGTAGCCTGACACTCCCATTTGCCCTTTTCTTTCTTCAGTGTGTGAATGCTTGAATTTTTGTCCACCAACACTACTTGGCTAATTACTTCACTTCTCTTTTTTCCATCCCTGATTATTGGGGAACACTTTGACCATATACTTATGTTATGTGGTTCTAAGGTCTGAAAAATCGATATTATCGCCGAAATATCGGCGATAATTTCGGATTTTTGGAGCTGCAATATTTTGAACACCAACCAATTGGATTTCGTCAGAATGTCGAAAATATCGCCGAAAATGTCGGAGAAATATCGGCAGCGATATTATCGTGAAAATCCAACCTGAAATGGTGATATTATCTCAGTATTATCGAAAATATCGGCGATATCGGGATCGATATTTTCGTGCAAGGCGTGAGGAAGCGTTGGAAGGCGGAGCGAGGCGGTTCAAGGCGTGATAGATCTGGACTTGAACTGGAAGAAATTTTGAGACTGCAAATTGGCTGCGGCTCTGCGAGGAAGACGGCCTCGCGAGGAAGACAACTCGCGTGTTATTTTTTTTTAGGTTTATTGTAATGAAACGACGTCGTTTGATTGAAGGGTTTTAAAAAAACTAAAAGTGAAACGACGTCGTTTCACTTGGAGTGTTTTTTTTACGCAAGTTTCTGTCTTTTTTTTTCCTTCCCTTTATTTATTTATTTTTTTTGGACGAACTTTTCCTTCCCTTTATTGTAATAAACTTAAGGCAAGAAGAAAAATACATGAAAAATGCTGAAAATTCTCCTTGTTGCGCATGGAGGGATTCTAACCCTTGCCTCTGTGAGAAACAACCTAGCGCCTTATCCAACTCAACTGTGTACGTGTTTGTGATTATATTTTCGGCGTGTAATATTTATAACGTCTTTAAAATGTCTGTAAGCTAATATTTATTATATAGGATAAAGTGTAAAATATTATAGTAATTCATTATATATAAATGATTATGGTGTGTTTAATCTTTTTTCATTAACTACTACATATTTTCTACACTCACAGTGTTTGCCAGCTTGCTATATAATCAACTTAAATCAGTTAAATCCATCATGCAATGCATTTTCTTCCAATTTTTTATGATAAACTAATAGATAATTGACTAAATAAACATCCTGCAAAGTTTCAATAAAAATTTCCAAATTTTTCTTACAATTTCCGTGGTTTTTATTCAATTTTTATCGATATCGATAATATCCCGATATTTCCATCGAAATTTCCGTGTTTTTGGCCTACCGATATTTCTGATATCCCCGATATTTTAGACCTTGGTTCTCATGAGGTTTCAATAGTGGTTGGGCATCCTCAAAATGTTAAATTGAAAGTCAGAGTCATGGTATGTACTAAGTATTGATAAAAAGTATTTTAGAAGAGAAAAGGTTTTTGGCAAAAATTAGACATAGTCATCAGTCATCAGTCATCTAATTGTGGTTAAAAAAAAATTAGACGAACCCAATACTTCTATAAACAATAAAAAAATTCTAGATAATAATTATTAAATGAAGAAAAGATTTTTGATTTGGTTAATTTTTTCTTATTAGCCTACAAACCGGGTTAAGCATAGAGCCATTGAATTTATATCTCCAAATAAATGATTCTGGTCCACTCCCATCAACTTGACAATAAATTAGGTTATATATTGTTTTCAAGCGAACACACCATTCTCTCTGCTAAACTCGAAGGGAATTTCCTTTCAAGTGAAGACTAATGAAATTTCCAAAAGGAAGACTTTTAAGTGTAATATTTAGATGAGGGTACGTCAATATTTCCTGTGAACCCCTCTACTTAATTATTATTTTTAAATATTCATCCAAAAGCTCTAACCTCTTATTATTAAGTTTTTACACCACTAGCCATTACTCTATGCCCAGTCCACAGTGTCATCTTATTAACCAAAAGATTCATGATTTAGGTCATTACTCAAAGATGATCCTTACAAAAAGTTACCTAAATAAATAGATGAACTCAATACTTCTTATAAACGATGATTAACTGAAAAATGAATGATTCAAATCATGTGATAACATTATGAAGTAAATTGAAATAGATATTTTACCCCTTTGTATTTGAATGGTCGTGTAGTTTAGATATCCAAATAAATAATTCTTGGTCCACTCCCATCAACAACACAATAAATTAGTCAAAACTTCAAATACAGCTGTTATACTATATGCATGCTGAAACACCAGAATAGTCCAAAACATTTGTCGGCACCAACGAGAGACTTGGACCATTTAGTTGGCCTGAAATTTCCATAAAGTCTTTGGGCATTTCCACAATGCTTTTCCAACCCAGTCAACTACTTCATTCCAACCCATTCAAGTGAGGAAGCAATATTTTCTGCATTAATTTGATGAAATGAATTCTATATCGATATCATTAAAATGACTCCCACATTTAATTATCATATGATAAAACTTGTTACTTTTTAATTTTGATTTAAATTATAAAAGTTGATAATAGAAAAGTAATTTAAAAAAATAAGAATATTGAACTTATGGTTGGACTTTTGACTTAAAACACAGGATTGAATGATTGTGAATTATTTCATATTTTTCCATAAGGATTGGATATTTATACAAGTACAAGTTGGCTTTCCTTCAAAGAATCCTAACTAGGTAACTACTCTAATTAGGCAATGTGAATCACACCAGGAAATCAAGGCTCACGCCAACATTTTGATCTATATATACTATACGATTAAAGAGCACGTACATTAATGCTATAAGAATTCGGAATAGCCAAACAAATTGAATATCTTTGCCTAGGGTGTCACCACCGAACCTCCACTTACGATATAACACCACATAATATGTATTTGCTAGATGTAACAACCCAAACCTTAATTATTATTTAACTATTAATTTAATGAAGGAAAAGACTAAACTACCCTCGGAATAATTTATTAGGTTTTAAGTTGACTTTTTGACCGAGAAAGAATTTGGAAAATCCACTTGTACCATTGCATAGAGCACGACAAAACGAGTCCGTAGACACGTAATGGGCTCAATTCCGAGTCGTATTGAAGATAATACGATCAAAATACGAAAAAGGGCAAAATTGAAATTTTGGAAAAAAAATCAGATTTTAAAATCAGACCCTCCCTTTCTCTCTCCTCACTCTCTCTTCTTCCTCGCGACATCTTCCCCCCTCTGGTTTTCCAGCCGACATCACCCCTCCTCCCAGCCACCACCAGCGACGCCGGCCAGCCCAGATCAGACTGGCGACTCCCCAGCCTCCTTGCTCGACGTCCTCCCCCGCCGCCTGCCGCCACGAATCGCTGGAGAGAACCAGAAAATCGCGGCAGATTTTCTCCGATTTTCAAATCCCTCAAACTCCCTCCTCCGGCCACCAAATCGGACGAATTAGGTATGGTTTTTCGACTGATTCTCATGCTCTAGCTGATGGTTGGGTAGGATTGGAGAGATTTTGAGGATTAAGAGGTTAATTTTCAAGTTAAGTTTCTGCCGAGCTTAGGATGCCGGAATCAGTCACTTCCGGTCACTTTTTGGCCTTAGTCCAAGAACAAAAGTGGTTGCAAATTTGGTGTTTTACCTAGACTAGGAGTTTGGGCCGGCGGTTTAGAGATTTTCCGGTCGCCGGAAATTGTTAGGCACACCCACGCGCGGCCGGCGCGTGGGCCAGGTAGCAGGGCCCATTCTTGGTCCCAGAACGATCCTCGTGTCCTCACGAGCGCGCAGGTTTTCGCGGATCTCAATTCGGATAACGTTTGAACCCCGAACGGATCTCGCATAGTGTGCATTTTTCGGGTTCAATACGTTCGGACCGTTGGATCATAGCCAAACTGGAGGATGTTGATCTAGGTATTTTAATGATCGTGTAGGATTCGACGGATCGTCAATCGGAGTCCCGGATACTCCGAAAAAGCCAACCCTAGGACTAGGTTTACGGAAAATCATTCATTAGTCCGATCGTACAATTGTGAGCAATCCGACCATCCGATCGAGACCAAACTCTTGGGACATGTGTCCTAGGCCTATTGGAACCTCTAGGAACGATCGGATCGGAATTCTGAGGTCGTGGACCCCACGGGGTCCCGAGTTGACTTTTGGGGATTTTATCGCTTTTGAGTCCCTAGGTACTTTTAAATCGTGTCCACTGAGAGGAAAGTGAGTGTGGACATAGGAATGACCTTTAAAGTGATGCACGCATTTTTAGGAGCCGGGGGTCAGGGTTTTTAATTTAATATTATATTACTGAGCAGAGTTTTTAATAAAATATTATGATGGTTATACAGGCACCCGGGCACCAGGTGACCCGCAGGAGGGACCTTCAAAGGGTCCAGCTAGCTCAGAGTATCTGTGAGTGGACTGTTTGTTTTATAAACGTTTTATGCATTTTAATTTCATTATTTGATCTTGAATAAGTTTTACTGAATACAGCTTTCCTAGCATGACTTGATAGATTTAAATATTTCTGTTTATTTATGTGCTGCCTAGTGGAACATTTAAAAAGGGATTTGGAAAGTTAGAACTGAGGTATTATCAGATTAAATGGCAGCAGGATTTAAGGAATAGTTTTATAAGTAGACCATTCTCTCTACTAAACTCAAAGGTGCAGAAGATACCAAGTATGTGCTCAAAACTCTTGATTAATATTCAAACACAACTGTTATGAGAGGTACTTATCTATTTATGATTGTCCACATTTTGAGCCACCCCAAGGAAATTTCCTTCCAAGTGCAGGCAACGTAGAGGAAGACTTTGACCATATACTCATGTTATGTGGCTCTCATCCTATTCCAAAAGAAAAAAAGGACAAAAAGAAAAATAAAACAAAGAAAGTTCAATGAGAACTAAACACTTGTTCCACAATAGACAACTACTTAAGTTTGGGATCTTCTCCAACCCACTCCTCAAGTCAAGAAATATTTTCTGCATTAGTGATTATTTGGACTTTATAATACAATGCCAACCAGTGGTTTGGGTCCACTTAATAATATCATTAAAATGGATCCGAATCATCTTCTTAGATTTCTATATGTCATGATCTACTTGACTTTTCTTATAAGCATGTAATCTCAAATAAATTTCATCCAAAAGCCAAAAATTTGACACATCAAACATAGATTATTTTTAAATAAAACAAAATTGCTTCACACCCAAAACAAACATTACGAAACGTTAAAACAGATTGATGTGTCACTTTTTTGGCTTTTGGATGAAATTTAAATGAGGAGGCATGTTTATAAAAAAAAAAAAGTAAAGCGGATTATGGCAGAGAAAATCAAAGCAGAGAATCCGGATCCCATTAAAATGATATGAATCATTCATTTTTTAGGTCATGAATTAAAGATCACCCTTACAAAAAGTTACCAAATTTGAAAACATTAGGCATCTAATTGCGATAAAAGAATAATAGACAAACATAATACTTCCTATAAATAATAAAAAACATTCATGATAATAATTAAATGAATAAACGATTTTTGATTTGGCTAATTTTTTTTTAAGCCCTTGAGTTTATATATATCTCCAAATAAATGATTCTTGGTCCACTCCCACCAACATGACAATAAATTAGTCTATATATTGTTTTCAAGGGAATAGAGTCATTCTCTCCGCTAAATCAAAGGTACAGAACATACCAAGATAGTATTGTGCTCAAAACTGTTGACTAATATTCAAACACAACTGTTATGAGAGGTACTTATCTATTTATCTTGTAGGCAACATAGAGGAAGACTTTCACCATATACTCATGTTTTTGGTTCTCATCCTATTTTAAAAGAAAAAAAAAACAAAGAAAGTTCAATGAGAATTAAACCCTTATTCCACAATAGACAACTACTTAAGTTTGGGCATCTCTCCAACCCACTCCTCAAGTCAGGAAATATTTCTGCATTAGTGATTATTTGGACTTTCTTTGTTTTGATCCAACATGTATATTTTAACCCACTCCCCACATATATATTTAATGATAAAACGTGTTACTTTTTATTTATTATTTAAATTATTAAAAACATAACAAAAAAGTGAGAAAAGACTAATAAGGTTCAATGTAGGTTACGCAAAACACGAGGCAGAATATGAGTTTCATACAAACACTTACCAAGAAAGAAGAATCGAATATTGGTCTTCTAGGGTAAAAATAAATGATCTTAATCACTAAAACTACAAACTCCTTGTAATATAAATTTTTCTTCAATGTGTAAGTGTAAATTTAGATCAGAGTATGTCAATATTTCCTGTGAACCCCTCTACTTAATTATTATTTTTAAGTTTTTATCCAAAAGTTCTAACCTCTTATTATCAAGTTATTACAACATTAGCCATTACTTTATGCTAACTTCACAACAGGTCATTACTTAAAGATATAATCTTTACAAAAAGTTACTCAAATAAATAGATGAACTCAATACTTCTTATAAATGATGACCTAAAAATTAAACGATCGAATCATGTGATTACATTGTGAAGTAAACCCAAATAGATATTTGGCCTCTTAGTACTTGAATGGTCGTGTAGTTTAGATATCCAAATAAATGATTCTTGGCCCACTCCCATCAACAAGACAAATAAACTAGTCCAAAAGGTGTAGAAGAGTCCACGTATTGTGCTCAAAACTTCAAACACAGTTGTTATACTGCATGAGAGGGTACTTCTCTATTAGAGCTGTATACATGCCGAAACAACGAGAGACTTGGACCATTTAGCTGGCCTGAAATTTCCACAATGTTTTTCCAACCCAAATGCTCTTGGTTCATGAAATCTTTCCAAAAGGTTCATTGCCAAGTTTCTTATCATTAGCATATAATAAGAATTCATTTTTCAGTTGCAAGATATCGCTTTTGGAATAGCCAAACGAATTGAATATCTTTGCCTAGGGTGTCACCACCAAATCCTCCACTTCCGATATAACACCACATAATATGTATTTGCTAGATATCCAAAAAAAAAAAAAGTTGATACAATGCTAACCAGTCATTTGGGTCCACTTAATAATATTATTAAAATGATCTGAAGCGTTCATTTTTTAGATCATAATTAATTAACATTCAAACACAACTGACAATAAACTAGTCTATATATTGTTTTCAAGGGAATAGACCATTCTCTCCGCTAAACTCAAAGGTACAGAAGATACCATGAATGTGATCAAAATTATTGATTAATATTCAAACACAAGCAATGTCTATTTATCAGTGTCCACATTCTGAGCCACCCCAAGGAAATTTCCTTTCATATGAAGAAGACTAATGAAATTTCCAGAAGGTTTTTGGGCCTAGTGAAGCAAGAAGCCAAGTGCAGGCAACGTAGAGGAAGACTTTGACCATATAGTCATGTTATGTGGTACTCATCCTATTCCAAAAGATGAAAAAAGGACAAAAAGAAAAATAAAACAAAGAAAGTTCAATGAGAATTAAACACTTGTTCAACAATAGAGAACTACCTAAGCTTGAGAATCTTTCCAACCCACTCCTCATGTCAGGAAATATTTTCTGCATTAGTAATTATTTGGACTTTCTTTGTTTTGATAAAACATGTATATTTTTTAACCCACTCCCCACATATATATTTAATGATAAAACATGTTACTTTTTATTTATTATTTAAATTATTAAAAACATAACCAAAAAAGTGAGAAAAGACTAATAAGTTTTCAATGTAGGTTACACAAAACACGAGGCAGAATCGGAGTTTCTCCAATGCAGCAGAAAAATTAAAATATGTCATTTTGTAGATACTTCTTGGACATCAAAATACGTAACATTATATATATATGCATTTTAGCTTTCAAGATAGTACACGTTGACATGTGTGTATATATTTTGCAAAATTCACACATGTGCTATAGCCTTTTATGTGGACATCCTAAAAATGTTACATTGAAACGTATGTATGTACTAAGTATTGATACGAGCAAATGTGAAAATTGACTGCTCCAATAATTCAATTGAAAATAACTTTTTGGCATTTAAAGAACTACATTGAAGAGGGAGAAAGAGAGAGAGGTCAAGTATTGATGGAAAGTGGGTTATATGACCTTTCATGGGACTAGGTTGGGCGTTTAGGACTTAGGCATTTCTTCGGTCTAATTTGGTATGGGTCTGAGTTTTACTACCTTGTCCCAAGCCCACCCATACGGGACGGGCCATTAGGGCTTGAACGTGTTGTACGGAATTTGGTTGTGATGAGTTGGGTTACATTAGGTTACTTAAGTTGGACTGGGCTAAGGCTGCTTGTTATTTAATTTTTTTAATTTTTCAATTTTGAGAATTTCATAATAAACTAAACATATATAAAAGATGAATCAACATAATATATATATATATATATATATTAATTATAACATGTAAACATATTTGTGCTATGATCAAATACAGAGTAGAGCTACTAACTTTCCCTTTTATAGATCCACATCTTGATTAACATTAATTCACTTCATTTGCATCCGCAATAAAAGTAATCTCTTTAGATTCTGAAGCACCTGATGCACAGGGACTTGGATTGTCCACACCAACTTCATATGCAAGAATTTGTTGTGGATATAAGAAAGGCTTTGGAGGCATTTGGAGGTTCTCAATTTCTCCTTCGAGAGTCTTGACTACTTTATTCATTGAAGGGCGTTCGATAGGCTTCATTCGAATTCCCATAACACCTTGACAGCGTGTGTGAAAAAAACTTTCCTCCCCACTGTCACTTATAGAAATAAATATATATATAATAAAATTTAAAATAAAAAATCCCATTCGAGCTGAGCCCATTTGTAATTTCCAAAATTTGGGGTAAAGCCTAAAAAGGAGAGTTTGAAGTCGAATATTGGACTAGAATTTAGATTTGAACTTCATGCCTCATTGGGTGTGGGTATTGGGCCTAATGCACTATATTCGTCAAAGGAATATGCATAAAATGTTTCTTCTCAAGATTTTTTAATTCAACAAAGAAATTTAAAGCATAGTCCAATAGATGAAGAAATAATCAGACTTCCGTAACTACTCTCATCTCATGGCTTTGAAAAGAGAAAACACGTTGATACATACATAGGCGTCTTGAGTATGCATGTTGGATTCTTTGCTTTCTTTCTGGTCATTCCATTTTCCACAGTTTAGCTGTTTGGAAAAATCCGTGCTTGAAATCTCCCATCAATGATGTCTTCTTCATCTTTTAGCTTTGCTTTTTTGAACCCCCTACTTTTCTAGTTTGTCCCTTTATTTTCTGATTTAAAATATTTCCTGTAAAGGATATCATCTAGTTTTAAGCATTAAATTATGAAAAAGATAAAAGAAACAAAAGATGATCAAGGATCGAAGAAGATCTTGCTGCGTCTTTATATGCGTGCAATACGATTTTAAGGTGATGTGCTTTAACAAATTTACAAACAGGTACGTAATAAGCAAGCCAATTGGTCTGAAGGGATATCCTTTGCTTGTGTGGCAAGACCAAGTCTTGTTCTAGGATATCCTTAGCTTGTGTGGCATGACAAGCCTTGTTCTTTGAGATGAGCATGAGCCACAAATTATGATATCCTTAGCTAGAGAATTTAAGAAATGTGTTTTCTGTCTCCCACTAATTATGATATTTGTTTTGTTAAGACATACCCTGCCAAGGGCCTAGGCAAACCCTGTTAAGGGTGCCCGGTTCTCATCACACACGCCGGCAACACATCGCACGTGTGGATAACATCCATATCAAACTAGAGGAGGGGTTATGAACAAAAAAAGGAAACAAAAGAACAGGAAAAAAAGAAGAAGGAAATATCGTTTAAGATCCCCCAATTATGAATGATGGCAGGCATCCAAAGATATATCCACTAGATTCATCGTTTCCTTTCTAATATATATATATATATA